CTAGAAATAGCTTTAGGTCAAGGAGGGCTTGGGGCTTGCAAAGGTCTTTTCAGATGCTTGCCCCTTCACCTCTGCAGTATCAGCTGCTCAAGGTATATGTCAGGTATGCTGTGTCCTTCCTCCCTGACCTCTCCTTTAGGGACCCAGCTCTGCCCCATCTAGTGTCGCTGTACAATGTGACCCTAACTACTCTCTGACTCTGATGATAAACTGATGTCACACACGTAACCACCCCGAGAGCTATAGCGGACTACACAGGTCACCTTGCTAGGGAAGCTCGCTCTTGAAAAGTAACTTTTTAGCTGGGTGTAGTGGTGCATACCTTTAATCCCAACAGAGGCAGGTGGATCTCTGTAAATTCAAGGCCAATGTGGTCTACAAAGTGAGTCCTAGGACAGCCAAGACTACACAAAGAAACCCTGTCTCAAAATAAATAAATTAATAGATAGATAAATACAACAACAACAACAACAAAACAAAACAAAACAAAAAAACAGCCGGGCGGTGGTAGCACAGGCTTTTAATCCCAGCACTCGAAAGGCACAGGCGGATATTTGTGCATTTGAGACCAGCCTGATCCACAAGAGCTAGTTCCAGAACAGGCTCCAAAGCTACAGAGAAACCTTGTCTCAAAAAAAGAAAGAAACAAACAAACAAAAAGAAACAGTACTTTTCCAGAAAAAATTCATCTATTATAGGCTATGGGGGGGGTCTCTATGATCCATCCTTCATGCTGTTTCAGACAATGATGGCCTACCTAGGTCTGCGCTCAGTGGGCCTTAAACCAACCCGGTAGACCCTTGACTGGAAAGAAGAGGGCAAGGGTGTTCCGCAACGGGGAGAGATAAGTTGGAAGGAGATACTGGCATTCAAAGACGCGCTCCCTGACTGACCTGCTCTGAGACAGACTAGGACGTCTGTTGGAGCCAAGGCCAGCAAGACGCCGAGCAAGGACCCACAGGAGTTCTAAGAACTAGTGGTGGCCTTGAGGGAGGATAAGGGTGGAGGATGGAGACCCAGAGACAGTGGAAAGGGGAAGGTCAGGAAATAGATCTCTTGGTCTGTAAGAATCAGAAAGCCATTTCCTGTCTGTCTCTCCTTTCTGTGTTTCTCTTTTGCACTCTTGCTCTGAGTGTGCTTGTGTGTACACGTGTGTGTGTGTGTGTGTGTGTGTGTGTGTGTGATACACAGGGCAGTATATAACCTCTGGTGTGCAGTCCTCAAGTAGAGAGTATGTGTCTTCTACTGACTTAGAGCTCACAAAACAGTCTAGGTGGGCTGGCCAAGCCCCAGAAACCCACTTCTCTGCCTCCCTAGTGCAAACATTTGCCACTAACCAAGCCCTTCTTTTTTTTTTTTCTATTTTATTGTTATTTTTTTAATGTGGGTTCTGGGGATCGAATGCAGATCCTCATGCCAGGCAAGTATTTTTCGGAGCCATCTCTCCAGCTCCCCAAAGGAGACTTGTTAAAACAAGCATGTTTCCACCCCAGTCTGATAGCTATAAGAAAACACCATCATTTCCAGGTAAGGTGCAGCTTGCTTGGTCATCCTAGGCACGCAAAGGGCCGAGGAGGGAGATTACTAGCTTGAGCCCAGCCTGGGCTACTTAGGGAGATTCTGTCTCAAAATAACAATGACAATGATGTTGAAAAGGCCCGGGATGCAACTCAGTGGTAGGGCACTTGTGTAATATGCATGAGACCCTAAGTTTAATCCCCAGCACAGAGAAGAGAGAAAGAGCGTGTGTGCACACTTTTTCATTGCACTGTACCTCCATCCCCCCCCCCCCCGCCCACCCGCCCTATAGCCTGCAAAAGCGGAACTGCTGTAGAAGAGTCTGGCTTCTCAGCTCTACTTAGACCAGGCTTGGGAAGGACAGAAGTGGGTCCTGTGGTTCACGCCCAGCCCTTTCCAGACCCTCACAGCAGCCCAGCCACATGGACCCCGGGCTTTTCACTTCTATGGGGATCTCCAGGGGCTCAGGCAAGCTACTGCTCCTGTCCACGTCCACCAGGAGTGGATGTGGGCACGGCAAAGGGAGAGGAAAGGCTTCCACACACACCCAGGGAGGCCAGTTCCTAATGGGTGGGGCCAGAAAGCTAGAAAATAACAAATAAAAACAAAAGTGAAGAGAAGCAAAGGGCTCGGGTGCCAGAATGGGGCTGGCTGTGGCTGTGGCTGGCTGAGTAATGGGTTCCACATTTGTCTGGCTCTGTTTGCAGCCACTAGGGTCCAGGATGCACAGTGGACCTTGCAGAGGCCAGAGGGGACAGCACAGCTGTGGGCAGACTTAGCATACCCTTGGGATGGCCCTGTCCCTTGCTGGCCATCACATGGGCAAGATGTGGTTGGGAGCTCACACTCCGGCATCCCCAGCCTTCCTCTGCCCACCCCACCCCCAAGCCCCACCCCTGCTCCAGGCTCCTGGGCTCCTGCCGGCCTGCACAGATTGTTCGCGTTATTAATGCGTTTTCCCAGAGATTCCATCTGGCTGTTTAATTGTTCTGGGATGGAGCTAGGATGCTTTGATAGTGAATTGGTTTCTTTCCTAGGTTACAGCTTTCGTTAAATGCTCCATCCACGGGGAAGGATAAGGGTGGGGAGGGGTGGGTGAGGGTGGGAGAGAAGAGGTGAGCCTTACAGGGACAAGAAAAAAAAAGTTGGTGGATTAGGGGAAAGGAATGGGAAGGGGGTGAGAGGAGGGGAAGGAAGGGGAGATGATAGAAAGGGGAAAAAAGCGTAGGAGATGAGAGAAAAGAAAAGGGCTTCCTCTATCTACCAGCACAACAAAACAGCGGCTAGAATGTCAACATCATCCAGGCAAGAACAACGCTTCGTGGCTACAGTAAGCCCACGGGTGCCCTGGAAAAAAGAGGCCCCTTGGTTAAGCAAAATCAGAGCTTCTAGGCCCCTGAAACTTCAAGAGGAGAGGCCCCCTCCTCTCTTGTGAAATCGGCAGCTTGGTGGAGGCCTGGCAGGTTCCACCTGGGCTGGGAAGGAGGGGGCGGGAGACCTGGGAGGGGCAGACACTCCTCACCCTTCCCAGTGGCTCACAGCAGGTGTCAGGGCCAAACCCCATATTCACAGATTCCCAGGAGATCTAAGAGATAAGGGTGACATTCGTGACAGCATTAAGCTATCTGGTGGCAAAGGAGTCACCTCCCTCTCCTTCTTCTTCTGTGTTCCTTTCCTGGAGACTGCCAAGGAACACGGGGTTCAGTACTGTGACAGAGAAAAAAGGCCAGGCAGTGTCTGTCCTGGGAAGGGCTCACACATGGGAGAAGTTTGTGGGTATTTGAAGACAGGGTCCATGTGTAGCTGGCCTCATTAGGTATAGGGTTCAGGCTGCTGTTTCCACATCAGAAAAAGTCCTTTATTTTATCCTTTTATCCGTCACCCGGACATGGCGTGGGGACACAGGGTTGTCAGCTCCCCAAGGATAAGACCTGGGTCTGTTCTCAGTGATGCCTTGATCCGTGGTGCAGGCCCTGGCATAAGAAGGCATCCAAATGACTATTTAGGGATACATTCAGTTATTCATGAAGTTTGAATTGCCTGGAAGGCCACCCCCAGCTAGCTAGGCATAGAGTACACACTGAACAGGGCCACACCACCGTCTCCTTCCCCCCAACACTATCTACCAGACCACACTGGAGACTTCCCTTGTGTGACTGGGTCTTCCTTGTTTCCAGAGCAGGCTTCTAGGCAGGAAATTCCGTGTGCAGGGAAGGGTGCCCTTTCATGAGCCCCTGGAGAACCTCCCCCTACACACAACCACCTTAGGTGGTAGAGGAAGGAGAACAAGATGGCCCCCTCCCCCGCTCAGCCTAGGACCTGTTCTGGGGGCAAAGGGGGAAGTCAAGGATCATTCCCTGTAAACAAGAAAAACTGGAATTCGCTCTGAACTCAGAGAGGGTTTGCTGGGGCCTGCAAGCCATGGCCTGCCCAGCCTCTAGGCAGGCGGTGGGGCTCTGCCTCCTTAGTTCCCAGGCTGATGAGGCAGGCCACCGCCTCCTCACCGGGTTTGTGGCCTCTCCTCTGCCAAGGGCAGCCATGGGTGAGGAGGGAGCGAAGCCCAGGACAGAGGGCAGAGGGGGAAAGGGCTGGCCTGGCGGACAAGTTGTCAGCCAAGGCTGCTAACTCTAAAAGTGCAGAATTTAAAAGTCCTTGCTATTTCTCACCAGTATATACTGTAAGCTGTTCAGCAATCACACGCCAGGTGAAAAGAGCCCAGTTGCCTGGTTCAGGCAGGGAGAGCAATGAAGGCCACCCTTTCCTTACTGGGCTGTTACTGCAGCCAATGTAATGCCCATACCCTATGGGGCAGTTGTAGCAGTGGGTGTGTGATTACTAAAAGCCAATCCAATGCTTGGTCCAGGATGGGGAAAGTGGGACTAATAAATCCTTGACAGGTGAATATGTGGGCTGTGGCCCCCTCCCTAGGTAGGCTGAAGTAAGGCAGGTCCAAAGGGGTGCTCAGCCTGCAAGCTGTCCTTCTGGACGTCCCTGGAGTCTGCAAAGTAGGGAGGGGTGAAGAGTCATGTTTCCCAAGGCCCCACTAGAAGGCTGGGCAAAGGTAGGGGTAAGCCTTTTTCTCTAGGGAGGAGCTGAGTGATTTGGGAATGTGGCCAAAGGGTCTCTTACACAGAGAGCTTTTGGGTGGGCTTGCCCCTCAGGCAGAGTGCTTCTCTTCTGGGTCCTTCTCATTCTGAGTTGCAAAAAGAGACCACGTTCTGAAGACAACACTACCCCTCCACCCTCAAATTCCAAAGGGACTCAAGTCTTCCGACTCTGGGCATTCTCAGCTTAGAATCCTTATTCCTTGACTGCTATGTGACTTCCTTGGGGGATAGCCCCCACCCAACACACATCACCAAGGTAAAGAGAGACTCAAGAGATGCAAACTTAAGACCTCAGACACAGAAAACGCCTTTTCAAGGGGAACCCAGAACACACTTTACAAGCGGCTCCTTTCTGGTTTTAAAAAGACACCAAAATTGAGTTTGATATGTTTATATTATAGATATAATACATACGACATGTAGCATGAAACTTCGTGTGTTCCCTCCTCCCCCCCCAACGAAGAGAAGTCCACCCCTGTTCCCATCCACAGGGGTGAGCACGAATGGCTGGAGGTGGCTTTCTTTCCAGACGGAGACTCAGGGCCTTTGGGGGTGGGAGGGGGAGAGGCCTGTGCGCAGTCTCAGCTGGAGGAAGCTAAGACCCACAAGGACACCCTTGGACCACTGTGGGGAAGGGTAGAGGCCCACTTCATTTCGCTGGTCCTCTGGGAGCAAAAGAAAAAAAACCAAAATCCCTAGACCAAAAAGGAAAGCCTCAGCTTCTTCCCCCAGCCGCCAGCGAAGAGTCTCATTTTGGCAAGAATCTGAGCAAAACCAAAACAAAACAAAGGACCAAATAAAATGGTGGTTTAGCATAGACGTGAACATTGACATTGCACAAGGCACCGCTGGGACACAGAGACCAGATACAAGTGTTGATATCGGATGATAAAGCAAAATATTTGGGAAGCTTGTCATAACTCCAGTCCCTCTGGGATGGATCGATTGTGCTTCAAGTTCCTTCAGCAACAGCGGCTGGCGACATACAGTACACACAAGGCTGATGGTCCCGGTGTCCTCTCCTTCCCCACCCCAAGACCAGAGAAACCTGGGTTCCTGTCTCCCATTACCCCCTTAACCACAAGGCTTACTTACAACCTAGCTTTCTGATCTGACTGGGGGTGGTACTCCCCTCCCTCCATGAACTCACCCAGAAAACTTAGCCTGTTGCAAGCTGAGGTGGGGAGTGAAGGTGGAGGTGGAAAAGCAAGGATCTGGGAACCCTCCACCTCCAAGTAGCCGGGCGGGGGGGGGGGGCCCACTCTTAGACTTAAATCCCCAACTCCCTAAGTCCCACCCATCTAAGGACCGGGACTGAGGGGCCGAGGCAGAGCGCTGCCGGGATCTCAGCTTCCTGAATCTTCCTCCTGCCCTGGGCCTGCACCCTTCATTCTCTCGTGGGGGGCCTGTTGCAGCCTCGGAGGAGGCAGGAATCCTCCAAATAAAATATCAAGGCACATGTTTGCTCCCCCTACTCGGTAGGAAAAGGAGCGAGTTTGAGTATCCAAGGCACAGGGTTACTTCCTTAATACTAGAATGGCCGGGCTCCCAGCTCAGCTCCGCGGTAAAGTCTCCCCGCTTCAAGGAGAAACCACGGCCTGACTCCCACATCTTAGACACACCGAGTCCGGCTCAGAAGAAGGGAGGGGACATGCGGAGTAGGCCAAGCTTTCAGACGACACCAGAATCTCCTAGTCCTGGCTTTCAGGGCCGGGGCAGTCTGGAGATCCAGCGACCCGAAATCATTCTCCGAGTCCCCGGCCAGGGGGCCGGCCCAGGGCGGTCCCGCAGCCGCGCGCCTCACGCGCAGTTGCCCATGGCCTTGACCAAGGAGCTCTCCGGCAGCTGGCGGAAGATGCCCCGCAGCGTGTCCAGTTCGCGGCTTAGCTGTTCCACCCGCTTGCGCAGGCGATCATTGTCACTGGTCAGCTCCAGCACCTTCTGCTGCGTCTCCACGTTGCGCTGCTTGGCTTTATCTCGGCTCTTGCGCACCGCGATGTTGTTGCGTTCCCGCCGCACCCGGTACTCGTTGCTGTTCTTGTCCACCGACTTCTTGGCCTTGCCCGCACCGGCACCGCCGCCACCGCCGCCAGTGCGGAGGTCAGGGTGCGTGCCAGCCAACCCCTTGAGCGCGCCCCCCGGACCCGGCAGGCCCGCAGCACCCAACGCGGGTGC